TCTCCTATTATGAATAGCGAACCTCATTTCGTATTATGAATAGCGACCCTCTTCTCCTATTATGAATAACGATCCTCTTCTCCTATAATGAATAGCGACCCTCTTCTCCTATTATGAATACCGAACCTCATTTCGTATTATGAATAGCGACCCTCTTCTCCTATTATGAATAGCGACCCTCTTCTCCTATTATGAATAGCGAACCTCATTTCGTATTATGAATGGCGACCATCTCCTCCTATTATGAATAGCGACCCTTTTCTCCTATTATGAATAGCGAACCTCTTTTCGTATTATGAATAGCGACCCTCTTGTCCTATTATGAATAGCGACCCCGATTTTGCATTATGAATAGCGACCCTCTTCTCCTATTACGAATACCGACCCTCTTCTCTGATTATGAATAGCGGTCCTTATGAATAGCGGTTCTTATGAATAACGGACCTTATGAAAAACAGACCTTATAAATAGCGGACCTTAAGATTAGCGACATTGACCCGCGCCAATTTTCGCTCCACTTGCTATGCTCGCATTGCTCTACCTAATAAAATGCTTTCGCGAGGCCTGCATGTACAATGTTAGAGTAGGGACGCGGATTTTGTTCTCCCCCCCAACGTTTTTATTCAATATACGCCACTGCTCCCCCGTCCCTCGCATTTCGTCCCCCCCCCCCCCCCCCCCTCTCCGGTCATGAAAAGAAATCGCCACCTCTGCATGCAGGCGTAAAATGGTAAAATTTGACTAAACGCCAAAAAGTACAACCAACAACATAGGCTGTTATCTTTAATAATTAGGCAAAGAAGCGAGAAAAAAAAGAAAACTAATGTCTTGTCTAATACGCCAATACGAATTCTGTAAAGCATTTGCAAAATTTGTGCGACAAGGGAGTATGTGCATCTCGTATTGCTTCAATGCAATTCAATCTTCTGAACTGTGATGAGAGTAAACACCGATATAAGGTTAAGCCTACATGATTATTGAACTTGATCATCTTCTTTTGAAATCTTTATTTCGTTAAAATAATTATAGCGTTAGGGATAGGGTTGGTATTGGGAAATTAAATCGTGCATTTCCTATATTGAAGAGTAATTTAGGATGGCACTTTGTTCATGTTTAAAGTAAATAAAACAATAGAAGTGAACATGTAATTTATATTTCTGTCAACCTCACATTAGAGTTTTGAAGTTGATTGTTATGTTTTTGCCCTTTCGGAGATCATTTACCATTTAACTCTTCGTACTGCCTTAAAGATAAACTTTAGTACTGGTAATGCGATTGCATTGTGAAAGAAAAGGTGTGGAAAGGATCAGAAACAGTTGATCATGTAGTATGTAAATATTGGTGTGCACTGCAAGGTTCTGGAGTCATGAAAATCATAATAAATTTGACCGAGTCTTGGTAAAGTAACAAGCGCTGTACACAGAAAGCTATATATGGGACAACACATATGGTGTCGGGCTAGTACTACCTTGATTTCCTTGTCTTTCTATGCTCATTACTCAGCCAGTATACATTTTCATCCAAAATTGTTTGGCACATGTCATTTATTTATAATCTTGAACATTCAGTGTAAATTTTGTTTGATTCTGTGAGAATTAATTTTCTTTTTTTTACCAGTACTGGAGTTTATCTTTAATCTGAACGATGCAGGTTGTAACGTGTGCATGCTCCCAGCCGCCTCTCCTTCCCTCCAGGCTCCTTTTTTTCTCCCCTCTTTAGTTCTCTCTTCCGTACTCTCTCTCCCCCTCTTTAGATCTCTCTACATCTCTCTCTCTCTCTCTCTCTCTCTTTCTCTCTTTTTCTATCTCCAATACCCCTCCCTCTTTTAAAATACTTCTCTCTTCAATACACACAAAAGAATTCTCTCGCAAATGCTCCTCTCTATTACATGTAGTGTCATTTATGGGTAAATCCCCCCTCCCCCTTCAAACCCGCATAATCTGCCACTAACCAATGTTCAAGTCGAGGGTGAAATCTATGTCCCGTCCCTCTGGTGTTAAATACATGCCTGTACCCGTTGATGACAATGGGTTACATTTTGACTGTATAATAATTATACACTCCCCGCACCTTGATTAACTTTCGAAAACACTTTACACATGGGAGAGATATCAATGCCAGACGTGTATTCCAATGATTTATTAAGCAGTTCGTTTGTGCAAACTCTATGGTTCTCTTTCAGGCAAATTGCATTAAGCTGATGAACGGTCTGGTAGAGAAAATAATAGACATTAGTGACAAATTGAGGAAGACAAGAAATAGTATTAGTAGCTTACACATTCAAAATGAAATCGAAAGTCATGTCACTTTATTTCTTACATAATTTTCAGACTATCATCTACATAAATTTCCCCCGCCATTGTAATGACAATTGCATATGACTTAAAATATCAAATATAATTTCTATGATCAACTAACATTTGCCAAGTGCTATACAGCAACACATACATTTGCAATTCGAGGATACACAGAAATCAAGAGTTGCTTGATTTAGTATGCCCACTAAGCCAATATGATATTTTGCACGCAAACACGCCTGCATACTGTACACGCGAATAATGTTTAATTACGTTCCATGCTAAGATCATTTTTGTATATACAGAGTACTAACGATTGATGTAACAATCGCAAAGTAATAAATGTTCATCTATTCAGTATTTGTATTAACATATCAAGAAGCGGCGGAAGTTCATTTAATAGTTAATATTTGCATTCCATGTGTATGGCCACATTTATGTACAGCCAAATGAGTTTCTGCTAATATTATAGTAATAATGTTCTACCGTATTGGCCTACATCTACCATGTCTGCATCTAAGTCTTTTAATGCGATCTCTGTATTTTTCCGTTTAACCTTAATATTTTAGGAGCTACACAATATATCAGTTAGAATATGTTTAAGGTCGCAATATCAATAACGGTACTATGGAAAACGACATAAATTTAGATATAAGACATATTAAAAGATACGATGGATAAAATCAGAATTATAATTGCAAACATTACAACGAACAATTTTAGCTTCAAAACCAAATGTATCATAGGAAAACATGTAGAAAATAGTATACAGCAATGCAATGTCATAATGGTAGGATGCATGGTATCCTTCCACCACGGTATGAAAGGTTTTAGAAGAGATGTTCTTTAACAAAAATTCATGATATTATAATTTGTTTTTCTATCTCCATTATTTTCATTTTTCGTTTTTAGTTGTACATGCATTCAGAACATCAAAACAGTTACGTACATTTACATTACACAACAACTATGTTATGCTTACCAAACAATAAATTGTGTATATGGCCACGAAAATAATAGAGCGAATCGACAATATTTCTAACAGACAGCAGGAAATCACTAGTATCCAAGGCATAAATTATCAAAGATCAAGATTATATCAGACCGATTACAAGTACAAAAACCGGTTAAATATGCATAGACAAGGTTGGACAAATTGGAATCTAACCAACCTTAATATCCATATACGTTCAGTACGGCAAGATATACACGTGTAAAAATATATAAAAACAGAGACAAACAAATATCTAAAGAAACTGTGATAGATATACTTATGAACAGAGTGTTGTATATTATACAATCAATGCTTATTTCAGTTATTCTTTTTTTTTTCTTATTCATTATTTTCATATTCATTATTCATTAAATAATTTCTTATTCTCTAATGTATTCGTTTATTTACCTATCAATTTCAAAATGGCGGTATATACAACAACGAGCATTGTAGCTTTTTTAATTAAAATAATTGGATTATTCTGCTTCGAATTAAGATTTATTTTAAAAGTACAGTAAAATTTAAAAAAAATAGTATTAGAGGATTGATTAAGCCTAATATTCTTTTGAAAGATTAAAATATAACACTACATATGCTCCGGTTATGATTAGTGACTCTTGTAATAATTACTAGAATTGATTGAATTTCTGTATCCAGGTATCTTGTCAAAAACAAAATCAACATTAAAAACATCTACCTCTGCTTGGCATTCTTTTATATTTAAACAAATTCACATTGTTGAAATGATATAATTATGCGCTGCTTGATCATAATATGGTTCGGTTAATGATTATGAAGGTTTTATTTATGACTCTTTTCAATAATAATATTGGATATTTATATAACGCACATATTGACCATGTATGGTGCTCAAGGCGTTCCAACTATTACCCTATAGGTAGTGGATAATTCACAGTGTACAAACAAATAGTCAACTGGATTAATTTTGTTTCGCTTGCGACGTCTTACGTCCACTGACGCTTCATCAGGCCGACCATGCCGACGTTCCTCGACCACGTCACCGTGTTCATGGGTCAACAATCATTTGGTGCTAAAGACCAGTCGCCCTGATGAAGGGTTCCGAAGTGGACCTGAAACGTCGCAAGCTAAAATAATGTGAGTAAACCTTACTTGATTAAGGTTCTCTGGGGATTCCTTATAAACTGAGTGCTTTCTGGGAAACATCCATAGTTATCTTTACTAGGAAAAGAAACAATATTTAATAGAAATAATTTATTAAGATAATAAGAACGAGTCGAGAAATCAGATCTTCTTCGTTATCTATGACTCCGCCTACTTTTATCCAAGGTGGTGGATTCCTCGTTGGGTTTCCCACCATAAGATATCAGAGGGGCTATCTCAGACGTATCTTCAGGTAGGACTTGCATTTCATGGCCGGGCGATTGTTCAGAAGATTGAATGCTACTAACGTTGTTCATATCATCGGCGGGATGAACTTCTTCAGAGGACACTTCTTCAGAAGTCACTTCAGATTCATCCAAGTCCTCTGTACTGCGCTCCGGTGATTGGTCAAGATGTTGACTCCTACTTCCACCTGTCAAGTCCTCCTGGGTTTTTGAAGCCATGTTTCCTGTATGCCCATCTCGAGGAGTGTGGTCATTGCTTGTTGTAGCTTCACGAAGTATTTAGATGTCAGCGTATCCTTTGAACCGTTCCTGTGCTTGAGAGGTCTCATCTCTTTTAGAGAGCTACTGATCATTGACGTCTTCGATCTGTTCTTTTGCTACACCTGACCGGCAGCAAGAAAGAAAATAAATAATTGTTTGTTTTCTTCTCAAAACACATCTAATCGGAATTATCATGATTGTGTAGAACTTATTGCAGTGATTTTCATTTCTTTTAATTGTTTATGTTTACCAGCTTGTAGCAGAGAACATGATGTTAGTAGTTAGCATCTGTTTGGCTTTTTTGTGTTTGCACAGCTATAATGAGGGAAATGCTAACTGAAAGTTTCACTTAAGCTCTCGTTTTCAGTGTAAATGCACCAACAGTGCAAATGTGGAAAATGAACTTGCTTCAGAAAATACTATCAATCTGACTCTAAACACAAAGGCCGTATTGAACAGCATGTTGCTGAAGTGTTGAATGGGGTCCTTATTACGAAACTACAACTGTTCTTAATGGAAATATACGTTACCTTCGCTGAGATACAGGTCTGCAAGGTTGACCAACTTGGCAGCTTGCAGTGCCTTCTTTAGCTCAATCCGTTCATCTTCCCTGGACACACCTCTTCTCCATTGTTTCAGCATATGGCGAGTTCCATCACTGGTAACAGGGCCGAACCTCATATTGGTCATGAGCGCTCTCTGTATATCACCATGTAGGATTCCCAGCTGACTAGCAAGACTGTCGATCTTGGCTTCATCGTAAAGATCGTTAGCTATCTGCTGTAATATGCCTGCAAACTCATCATCTGGGGGCTCCTCTCTGGAATGGTACACGGTAATAAATAAGACAAACGTGGGGGGGTCGGAGAACGTAGGTATGACGTATCAACTTTAACATTAATTACAAATTTTACTTAGGTGAAGAAAAAAAAACAGAATAAATACGTTATTCCGGTGATGAGAACATACTCAATATGCTCAAATTATTGATATAAATTCATTACAGGATTTCGCTTTTTAACTCTAATCACCATAGACTGGAATGCAGCTAAGATTCTCATATTTTTGTAAAAGACCATCAATCTTTCATTCACTAATGCTTTTATATACATAATCACAGGTGGTCATGACATTTCCAAACATGATTTTGGATTCATAGAACAAAAGTGCTGCCATAGTTTTAGAACTGTTAATCTAACACCACTCATTTAACACCCAAAAGTATTTTCCATAGTAGTTTTTTTTACACTATAAGATCATTAATGCGTTCATTGTCATGTAAAGAGTAAACATATTTCATCTCACCCTGCTTGTAATGTATCACTCCTTCCCAGTCCTCCGGTTGAATCATCCTCAAATGATAATGTGTCTATAATGAAGGAATTAAGTAAGTTTGAATGAAGAAAAAGAATATAAGAGAAATATTTTGAACGATAATTATCGTTGACTGTATCTCTATGTGTTTTTCGTTTTACTTCTAAAGTGTAAATAATGTACAAGCATTCCATGGCTCTAGTTTTCTTAGATAATGTAATCGACTTGCGTTATTTTTGGCATAATGGACTCTAAAACAAACAAGAAACATATACATTTAGGTTTAGGACCATATTGAACTTGATAAGGTTCACATTATTAATATTTTAAAAGTAACCACAAATGGAATGGGAGTTATAAAGTATAACGTATATCAAAACAAAGGAGTTGAAAAGGAAAATGAGAATGGAAAATAAAGTCTTACCATCCTGAGCTTTTTTTACACAGGTCACCCTAGGAATGAAACTCGATTGATGTGTCTCTGCTTTCTTCTTCTCCTCTGCTGATCGTATCTCACTTTCTAGTTGAATTTTGGTTCTCAGCTTCCAGGTCTCACGCTCAAGTTGCTCCAAACGTTCTTTATAGTCATGCTCCTTCTTCCAGCTTAATTCTATTGACAGTTTGTCCTTCTCCAATCTCGCTCTGTCTTCCTCTCTTCCTTTCTTTAGCTCTTCAACTTGTTGTCTTAAAGTCGTCTCATTTCGCCCTTTCTCCCCTACGATTTCTGTCAGAATGTCTACTTGCTGTTGCTTAGACTCGAGTTTCTTCGTCGTATCTGATGCCAATGAGCGCTTCTCTTTTTCAGCTCTTTCTCTGTCTTCCTCTCTTCCTTTCTTTAGCTCCTCAACTTGTTGTCTTAGAGTCGTCTCATTTCGCTCATTCTCCCCTACGATTTCTGTCAAAGTGTCTATATGGTGTTGGTTAGACTCGAGTTTCTTCGTCATATCTGCTGCCAATGAGCGCTTCTCTTTCTCAGATCTTGCTCTGTCTTCCTCTTTTCCTTTCTTTAGCTCCTCAACTTGTTGTATTAGAGTCGTCTCATTTTGCTCTTTCTCCCCTACGATTTCTGTCAAAGTGTCTACGCGTTGTTGCTTAGACTCGAGTTTTTTCGTCATTTCTGCTGCCAATGAGCGCTTCTCCTTATCAGCTTTTCCTCTGTCTTCCTCTCTCCCTTTCTTTAGCTCTTCAACATGTTGTGTTAGAGTCGTCTCATTTCGCTCTTTCTCTCCTACGATTTCTGTCAAAGTGTCAACTTGCTGTTGCTTAGACTCGAGTTTCTTCGTCATATCTGCTGCCAATAAGCGCTGCTCTTTCTCAGATCTTTCTCTGTCTTCCTCTCTCCCTTTCTTTAATTCCTGATTTTGCTCTTGGACTTCTGTGGACATCTTCTGATTTGCTTCTTTCGCCTCTTTCACCTCTTTTTTGGTTTTCTCATAGAACAACGTACATCGTGGATTCGTGCACATCTTCTTCAGATCATTAGCTGCTAACGTTCTGTCGCCTTCATAAAGGCATCCACGTAGAAGGTCAAGCAACTGCAACTGGTCGTCATCTGAGAGAGAGCCATCAGGTTGAGGTATTTCGTACATATCAGTGCTCCCGGCGGGCTGCTTCAATTTATTTCTCGCTTTGGGGACGCCTCCGTAACGAAATATAGCATCTAGAGGGATACGGCCTATTCAATCGAAACATATTCAGTGAGTTAAACTCGCCATAACGTCCAAACCCATGATATTTTTATGACATCTACATACCACACCTACGTCACATAATATCCTTTTTTCTTCCAGGGGGGGGGGGGGTAACACAAACGAATTGAGAAAATCTGAAAATCTGAAATATTTCACTCAAAACTTACATCTTCCTTCAGACATTTAAATTATGCTATATAACTTTATTGTAGGAGCTCGCGCCTTCGAATGTTTTTGAAACAGATAAATGGCGCCATACAAATGCTGTGAATCATCATCATCATCATATATATGTGTTTTTATAAGTATTCTCAGTGGCATATCATTTCCTGCCATATTTAAATTTTTAAATAAATGGGCAAAATCGAGTGAGAAACGTAGGGAGGGGGAGAGAGAAATGAGGGTGATAAAGGAAGGAGACTGACGAGGAGCCGGTATAGGGAGTAAATGAAGTGAGTAATGAGATAGTAATACATTTAAAACTATGATGATGTAAATGAAATGTAATATACTTGTGGTAGGAAAATTAGTCGGGACAATCATGTTATAATCGACTTAATTTCATTGAATTGTAAAAATGTTTGTTTGACTCAATAAAATAGCCTATGGAGGGCTAAAACGTTTTTTTTTTAAATGTTATTATAGACTGATGATGTTGTTTTTGATATTGTTTAAATACTACAACTTCAACGGAAAAAAGGTTGAAACATGATTGGGAAATCTAAAGATCGGTAGTTAGTGATCGTCTCAAAATCCCAAATCTTGTAAAATCACCGTGATTATTCGATTGGTTACCAACCGAGGATATGAGATGATATGAGCATGCATATTAACTCTAATAGAAAAAAATGAATCTTGATCAAGCATTTCAATGGATGGTATGATAATCAAATTAATGGGGAAATAGTGTTATCACATCGGCCTATTATACATATTAACACAGGCTTACACAAGCAGAGCTAAGTATTAACATGCAATTTACTAAGCAAGGAAAAAGTATATAATTTACAAAATGAACGGAAAAAGGGGCTTGTAAGAGTAAACGATTCAACGTGATCAGAATTAATGGTGTGTAATTAATATGGATAATATAGAAAACTTAGATAAATACTTGATTTCAAGGTCAAATCATGTACTGTAGCATAATTATTTAACTCTACTCTCGATCTATTTATCGTTATTTCTTGACTTTGACATAATCCCCTTGATCCCTCTTTTTTTTTTAAAATAAATAATTTGAATTTATTAACAACAACATAACACAATGTTACAAAATGTATTCAAGTGGGTAACAAAAATAAAATGTCAAATTTATCCATGTACATGGTTACAAAGAAAAAGAAAATATCCATAGTTGAACCATATGTACAAATTGAATTAATCATATATCATGTCATATGTTTATGTACAGGGCTTCATGGTTGAACACGATTGTCAATGAGCTATCCTGTTTTTTAAATATGTGAATAATGATTAACAAAAAGAAATTGCTTGTAGAAATTTGATTATGATATAAATTGAATAATAGTTGTTCCTCGTTTCTTTTATGTCCTATTCATTACTGATGAAAGATCATGTAGCAGGTGTCATTATTGTTAGATACCTACACATTTAATAACAGTGCATATAACACAAACACCATATACGTAAACAGAGTTAAACAACCTACATAATGATTCATGCGTTATAGAATTCTGGCTAGTAACATTATTTATTTAATTAATCATTCTTTTAACGAATACGGTGGTGTAAATCAACGCCTTGTGGTGTATACTGTGTGTATCAACAGTGCAATTTGTATTAATTCAAAATTGTTTAAAGATAAAACTTCATATGTCTTCACTTTATGATCCTACCTACCAAACTCACCTGTATCCCTCTTTATTATCGCGATCCAATGTAGGTAATCTTTATTATAAAACGGGCTGAAAATAAAAATAAGAAAATACACCAATTCAGAATCGTTATTATTCACGTGGTGATGATTGAAGGGTTAATGATTGAATTGAATTGAATTGAACCAAGGTTTATTGAAAAAACATGTGTCGCAGCCCAATGGCTGAATTGATCATGTGTACAAACAAAACACTCATTGCATATTTCAAACATAAAATACAGTTACAATTAATTTGTCAATATTGAAATACATGTATATAGTTTTTTAAGTTACGACTGCTTGGGCAGCAAAAATAAGAAAACAGAATATTATATGAATTCAGGAAAATGGAGAGGAGAAACATGAAGAAAAAAGTATAAGAGGAAGTTGTAGAAAATGCATGTACATCACAAAATATAAATTGCATACATTTATTTTTAATGATATTAACATGATTCTGCAACCCACCCCCACCAAAGGCCACCTCAAAGAAGATAACGTGTTTGTATTTGTTATACCCTACACTTATAATAATTGTTCATTGTGTTCTAACACGTTAACCCTATACTCTCTAAAAAAAAAATCGAGTGATCACGGACGTCACTCCTCTGGAGAGTGAAAATATAGTGAAAATAGAGTGAACATTCATTCTTTTCTTCTTAGAGAGCACTCTAAAATCAATCGATTTTCACTCCTAAACAAGTGATCACGGACGTCACTCCCAAGAAAGTGAAAATAGAGTGAAAATTCACTCTTTTTTTTAAAGAGAGTACGCAAACATTAAGCATATCACAATGAAATTGTTCTCGCTCCGTGGGTACGCTCCATCGAATGTTTGAAGATGCAATGTTTCTCAGCACCGTAAATATTCTGTGTAAAATAGGCATTGGATGAGTGGGCAGGTGCTTCCATTTATCAATGGATGGGGAAATACTTCTTGCGCCTAAATTACAATAAATAATGTTTAGTAAAGCTTTCAGTTATAACAGGTCTGAAATGCAGTTTCACCCTTCTTTCCATTATGTTGCCTTTCAGTAACATGATTAAGGGGACGGCTAAATCGTTTCCGCCCTCTTGCAGTATAACGAATATCTTTTATTACTGTGAAAATACAACGCTTCAACATGCAATTATCTGACTTTTTGTTTCTTTCTTTCTTTGTTTCAAGTACTAATAATCGATTTCGACCCCTTCAATGAGCACCTTCTCAAGACAGAAAGAAATGTTGTTAAATGACGTGAAATGGCATTGATGTATATAACACTAATGCCTTTTTTTGCTCTAAAATGTAAAATATTAACATTCTAAATATTCGGTCACTACACTGTCTTGCAAACCAAGTAATGCAGTACTGCGTGTACATTATAAACCCTGTCTCAACAGGCCCCAAAGTCAAAATTCGTGATAAGTGCTAATCTTTACAAAAGGAGGTAGGAATTTGTTTTTTCTCGTACCTCTCGCTAGACAAGATGATAACATTACACTCATTATTTTGCCCCAAACTCCCCTTTCCTCCTCCCCCCCCCCCCCAATTTTTTTTTTTGGAAATACCAAATTTCATTATTCAAAATCCGATTTATGTTTCTAACTTTGGCGTTACGTTATCGAGCATATTTCCAAAAACTACGCACTTTATGCCAAGGCCCTGGAAGTGTGCAGGTAGGGGCTTTGAGTATAAAGGTGGAAAGCTAAACTCGTGTTTGTTACCCGGCACGTGTAAGAACATTATTATACATGTAATACATCTTTAAAAAAATTGCAGTTTATCGACAAATAAATCTATTTCTTGTTCTTCGCAACTATGTCAATCACATTTCAATAATTGGAATATTTCTTACACATTTCAATAATTGGAATATTTCTTACACATTTCAATAATTGGAATATTTCTTATCCGTGTTTTACTGTATTGAAGGGGGTAGGACACGATCAATATCGCCATCCTCTCACAACACACAAAGCTTTATCTCGCTTCTCTTTTTGCTGAGCATGGCATATGCTCAATGTCATTATCGTAATTTTGAAGTAGGCTGTGATTTGTCTGTGTGTGTAAATGAAGTCTTGATTAAAATTAATTACAATGCCGTAGAAGCGAGTGAGGGTGTCTTTTCAATTCGTTCGCTACGCTCATTCGTCTCCTAATGAACTTACTTTAAAGTTATAAGATCCTAAGTACTGTAGAGAAAGTGAATGTTCTGTCTCATGTAAATGGAGATTCTGGATATTTTCTTCTTTGCTTGCTCAAGGGAAGTGTAATTCAAAACCCATTGGGTCCCTTTAGGCCTGTGGATGCTATTCTTGGCAGTGCTCCTTTTCTACATTCCACCTTTATCCCACCCTTCTACCTTATCATGTCTAATATATAAGTGATGAACACAACAACGGATAAAGATGTACATATAGGACGGCAACGTATATTTCCGTTAACGAACATCATTGCTCTTTGGAAATATTATTATTTAAGCAAGCGAATATTAGCTTTCCTTGTTTCGGCGGGTTATGGGGGTATATGCAGTTAGTAAGTGTAGCTTTTTTCCTAGTTTAAAAACATGTTAAAATCGATGTGGAGGTGGGACCTCTCACAGTTTCTACCCCACCTCCTCCACCCCCCCCCCCTCCAAAAAAAAGGTGGAAACGTTTCATCGTGTCTGAACAAATATATACAAAGAGCGTAGAATCTGTAATTATTCGTAATGGGCATTTAAGACCTTCCTTCTCCTTACCCCCCCCTCCCCCTCTCCCTCCCCTCTCTCCCTCTCCCCCTCTCCCCCTCTCCCCCTCTCTCTCCCTCGCTCTCTTTATCGCCTTCTATCAATTTTGTAATGGGGAAATATCATACATTTGCATGTTCGTTCCGAGTCGTCTTAGTTACGTAGTTATATGAAGCACAAGAACATCGAAAAAAAGTCTTAACCCTAAAAAGGCCGGGCTATTTGAGGTGTTAGTACGGCGGGGGGGGGGGGGGAGGCGTGAAACGGCCGATCGCCGCGATAATTTACACGCATGTCAAGTGAAGTGTATAGAATACTATAATACTTTCACATTTTTACCCATAAATCATATATTATTCCTATTTAACCATTCTCTTTCACTACATATATTTATTAGACCATTTGTAATAATAATACGACAACAAATTTGGAAGAGCCAGCTTAATCCTTACGTTAGCTCTTGTTTTGATGATTTCTTATGCATTTCACTGTTTTTTAAATTATTTATTTTATTGTTTTTGTAATTTGTTTATATTTCTAACTACAATTCAACTATTTTGACTCCCAAAACAACCTCCTAAACTTTAAACAAGACCCAATTACCAATATTTGATCTATTTTTAGGAAAAATGACATTTCCATATGTTTTGTACACAAATCACGAAAATTAGCGATTTTCGGGCTGACATGCAAAAACAAAAGGTCACGTGACCTTGTAACTGTAGGTCCGATTTTCAAAAAAATCTTTTAAAAGATGCGCAAGACTCAAAAGAAAAAATTCAGCGAGCGGTGAGGCGCCATCCATATTAGGATTAAGAGTTGGTCAATTTATCGAAGATCGTAATGTTTTGAAATAAAAAAAATCATGTAGGACTACAACTTTTTTTTTTTAGAAGTAAATTACAAATTATTTTCAAAATTCCTTTCTAGCTAGGGCCTAACATTTTTGTTTCTTACTATTTTTCTTCTTATGTAAATATTCACCTATTTTTTTTTCTAATAATTTTTTTATTTTGTTCCCATTATACTTTACTTTTTTAAATTTTAATCGAGACCCTACACACAAAAAAATCGGGCACTTTGCTGCCCGAATAATGATGAGGTGATGGTTGCCCGAATAATGGGACGTCTGAATACCCTGCAATCAAACAGTAGACTTTCAAGTTTTGAACGTTAATAAAAGCAGTCCTCCATCTATTTCTTCCTCAAATAGGTGCGAAAATAACGAACCCTCGCGGTAAATATGACGGGAAATTTGGTAAGATACAAGAATGTTGAAATTCCTTTTAAATTGTTAACCTTATTTGTGTACACTCCAGCGCAAAAATTGACAAGAGCCTAATTAAACACATTTCAATTAGAGCAAAGCGATTAGAATTAATGTGGACCCCTTCGTATGGACTATGCTATGTTGAGGGTGAAGAACTACACGATCCCGAATCAGCATAATTATACGATAGATTAAAACGACCATGATTTTCAAATTGATCGTGTTTTAAAACTTCAACAAGTCCTTTTCCAGTGCACCGTTTGTTTTGTATTTTTGGGTCTATTCTCATTCTACAGTTCTTTTTCTTCTCTTGCTTACCTTTGTAATTCTCTGCCTCCTCCGTATATAGGCCTATACGGCATTATCGATACATAATTCAAACAAAAGTGAGTTCATTTCCTTTCGTTCTTTTTTCTTTCCTTTTGAATGCCACATGTTGTGAAACTTTAAATAACTTCTTCGTCCGAAAACAAATTATCTTCGAGATTATTCCCGAAAATTACTTGCTTTTCCGGACCGGTTCTCGGGATCGCGCCATTATTCGGCCTAATGCGTATAGTCGGCGAATAAAACAATCAATAAGAAGGGTCCAGAACTAGACTGAGCATAAATTTGGCGTGTGGTCTAATAGGCGGAGCCCCTGGAAGCTCAGGGATTTTAGGCATTTAATAACGGTCAGATGAACATATTTCGATATCTTTTTTGTGACACTGACAGGTCACTATATTCTACGATAAAGGTGTGTAATTTCCTGTAGCAATCAGGCTTTTACGGAACTGATTTCATGAATCCGACAACTCCCGAATTTGGAAGCTTTGCCAACATGCTTGACGATGCCCTTCGTGTTTGTACTTTTGCTATTTGCTATTCTTTTGCTTTTTTGCTGAATTAGGTTTGCTAAATCGCGCTTTATTTGCAAGGAGTTATGAAAAAGAACAACCCACCCAAATAACTAGCAATAAAGATGTTCTTGAAGTTATTATTTAATATGGTTTTGTGTATGAAGAAATAAGAGGACCTAGTTACTGAGTTTTGTGTTAATTTTTATTATCACAATCCTTGTTTCAGTCCTAATTGATTAATTCTTAATAATCATCATTTCTTATTATTAATATGCGCGTTTATGGGATTTTGATCAAAGCGCTAAAACGTGTGTCTTCTATTTTCGTGAATGTTTATTTTCTTCAGATTTCCAATGACTTATTATGTGATTTTGTTTCAGTCAAAATATATACGGCTCATGTGAATATGGAGAGCGAAAAAAAATAATACTCACTCAAGTAATAGCACCATACATCCAATTTTCCCAGCAATGTCTTGTACCTCTTTTTCAACATTATCTGGTAAGATGACAAGAGAAAACGTGTTTGATACATTGTGCATGATGAACATTTGGGATACTACGAGCATAACATGTAGGCTACATGCATAAGAAGAGAGAGAACAAAGTAGACAAGTTTGTGTAGTTCCATAAGTTGCATCCAATATTTCAGAATAAGCTATATAAACACGCATGGATGAATTGTTTGTGCAATAACATTTAATGAAACCACACAAAATAATATTATGTGATAGCAAAAAAAGTGAACATGATATTTTTAATGTAGAGAATCTTACCTGGGTTCGTCGTGAAATCATACTAAGAAGGAGAACCAAAATTGTGATAAATATATGGGTATATGTAGGCCTATAAGTATAATGCCATGTAAGAATTTTGTAAGAATTGCAGTGGTCAGTAATGGTACAAAAAAGGTACAAAAATAGAAACACCCATAACGACATCAACAAAATGAGGATATTTGTAAAGCCCAAGACATCACTTTCTTTAATGAAATTTTGGCATCTATATATCAACACTCTTTGAGCTTCATGATATTGAAAATGTATTTGAGTAATTGCTTTTTATGCCCCCTTATTTGTACTCCATACGATTTTGAGAGAGAAAAGGCTCAGTTATATAATTATTCGCAGTTCCTTGTTAATAATCCCAATATGGTGATCTGACGATTGACAATGTTCGTAAACCTGTTTCCACAATTTACGATTACACGTGTATGTTCATCCATAATACCCTCCTGGTAGTCTCCAAAGTAATTACATCAGGCAGGTCAGGTATATAGTCACAGTGAAACATACATATCCTAATTGTTTCATATAGCTGACATGTAAAATTGATCAACGGGTTACAGATATCCCTTTGTTTTTATTTTATTCTTTGTAATAAATAAAATGATATACTGCGCTCCAGGTGTTTGATGTGTGCCATGTAATAAGAATGTTAAGAGTTTTTCTTGTTGTTACTGTTAAACCAATGACCTTATAAGAGAACGCAGGTGTTCACATGCTATACATGTATGTTTGATGATGGCAATAGTTTATGGGTTACTCAGGCGTATTTCCTGGTTATACCTTCAATATACAAACAATTAAAATGCTCAAGACAACTGCAATTTAGCAAACGTTATTTAACATTCAAAGTGACTGAGTATATTTATTTCATCGTTAGATTAAGTATGATTGTGATAAATAAGTGTAATCTACCAAATTTAATGTATTTTTAAGCAAAGTTTGGATAGTCTCGCAGTTGTACATGTACCTAACATTCATTTTTACTCAATTTCTTTGCAAATTTACAAACACGCAAGTTAAGTCTGATTTCCCTCATTTTGGGCAATTGTGCATTGGCGCATGTTTAGGAAGCGAATGTTGGAAGAACCAAATAGGAAATTAAACGAAATTATTTGTTTTATCCGGCATATCTAGAGTGTTTCAAATTGCAACATCATACTGGTTTAATGAGATACAAAGATCATTGCGTTAGTTTAGTAATACCAAAGACAGAATTTGGTCATAAGTTTCATCATTTTACCAAAAAAACATACCTCTAACTTCATGATTAAAGGGTAAGGAAAAAAATCATACCATAGTTCAAGTTTCAAACTTCGTGGTGTAGTTTCATTTGATTTTTTCAACAAACAAACACGAATAAATCAGCATTTCATTTTCTTTCAATATACAAACCCCCAAGGCATATTTTCACGATGACAGATATAGAATCAGTCAGATATTGCTCCTGATCCTGGGTAGATGTTTGTCGTTTATCAGCATGCTTGCTCGGCTTTACGTCTCCATGAAGAGCGCGTCTCAGAGCAGGGACTATGGCAGGCGCATACACGTACGTATTAATCATACCAACGACAAGCTTATCAGGAAACACCACTCGTTCATCATCACAAGATACAGCCTTGCCTGGTTTGTACGACAATATTTCATGTCGTAATGTAGCGATCCTCGTTTCAATATCCGCGTTTGAGGAAGCCATTTTGAATAACTACCTGTCTGCGTATGAAAAGGTACAACCTAATGCAGTGAATTCAATCAGTATATTCTCGCAGGGCAAATGTTTATTGTTCAAAATATGCCTTTCATGGACTTTGTACTTTCAGTGTCTGAAATCATTGCTAATTTAATATGTTGTATGAGTTAACGATTCGCTCTGGTGGCCTTTCAAACTGATGCATCCCCTTTCGTTTTGTTCCTATTTCAGTTACATGTATTTGCATTGATTTGACTCGTGATCACTGAGCCCTTTCCCAAGACACCCCCTCTCCACATCCATTGTTTAATATGTTAAAGCAACCGTGTGACAACCACTCAAACATAATACTTTCAAGGTGATAGGCTAAATAATGTTAATTATGTATGAATTAATATTAGATTTAATTAAAATGGTTGATTAATAACATTTCGTCGGGGCTAAAGGCTGAATTGTGGTTTTCCATTGTTATATGTTAAAAATACAAAAATATATACAATCATAACAAATAGGTACATAAACAATAATACAAAAAAGACAAATGCAAATGAGTCTCCTATATTCCTCTGCCCTAAATTCAGTTTAGGAAATGGATGGATATTCGTGACATATCAAGATGAAATCGAATAGGTCATTTGTATTTAATTATTTCTAATCTTTTTCAGGGTAGCCCATTCACCAATAAGTAGTGGTCTTCCATAGGGCTCTGAATAAGCATGAACATATTTACATCAAAAAGCATACCATTTTAACAGAACAGTTAAAATAAAAATCCATAATACAATTAGAAAGATATGACGGAGCAATAGCATACGTGAAACAAAGTAACGAATACTTGCTTGTAAAATAAACATAATCAATAACCTAGTTCAACTGTAATGCCAATAGGAAAATATTGATTAAGTCGCAATTTTGTGAATAAATCATGTTAATATTACAGAACATGCACGTAGTGTATGTTCGGCTGAGCCATTGACGAATTACAACTTTTTTTAAACAATCTCTGAATTGACAGAGGAAGCCGTTCTCATCGAATTATCTAGCTTATTCCATTCGAATATAGAAGAAACAACTGGGCTACACTTATACCAATCAGCGTGAAATGTAGGCACACGTAAACATCTACTGCCTTGTATGACGCTGATGTACATCATTATGATTGATTAAGCCTACCTGAAGGTAAGAAGGTGCTAAGATAAGAAGATGCTAAGAACAAATTTATATATCATCATAACGCGATTTAACTGAAACCGGCTTTCTAGTGTCATCCATTTAAGACTTGTGAACAAATCAGTCAACGGTGTGTCATATGTCTTGTTCAATATTTTTCTTACGGCCCTTTTTCATTTTTTTTGCAGTTTAGTTGTATGCCGGGGAATGAGATCTGTTCGACTATACAGCAGAGCAGTAATCTAATCGTGGCAATACTAGACTGTTATAAAGTAACTTGAGTATTTTTTAGGCAAAAAAAAACTCTTGGCTGTCTTTATCATGCTAATGCTTTTCTGGGTAAGTTCACTTACGTTTTCGATTTGTTTAGACCATTTCAATTCTTCATCGTTCAAAAGTCCTAAGCATTTGGTGAATTGAACTCTTTTGATGAAATGCAATTTTCCTGAGATTAGCACGAGAGCCTATTATCATGACACAAGTTTTCTTTAGTGTTAAGAACGAGACGATTTCCCTTAATCCATACCATGACTTTGTTTAATGAACAGTTAATTTTCTTCCACAACAGTTGCATCATTAGCACTGACGGTAAGTGTCTTATCGTCAGCATACATAATATCTATGATACCTTCAGAAGTACATTCAGGTAGACTGAACATTGTGGCACATCTAATTTGATGGTTGATGGATGCGACTTGGCTCCTTTGAATTGGGTCGCTTGTTGTCGATTACCTAAATATGATTTGAACCAATAAATACAACCTATACAAGCTAGTTTATATAAAAGTAGCTCATGGTCAACACTATCAAAAGCCTTCCGAAGATCTACGAAGGCAACTCCAGAAATGTCTCTGTTATCAATATTCAACGACCATTGATTTACAGTTATTCCAAGGGCAGTAGCTGTTAAAAGTTTAGATCTCAAACCAGACTGATTAGGGTGTAATAATTGATTCTCGTCCAAGAAATCACTGAGTTGTTGATGGACGGCCCTTTTTTTAAATAATTTCACTCACGATGGGTAAAATTGAAATGGGTCGGTAATTATTCAAAGAAGAAATATCTCCAGATTTGAATATTGGTTCTACCCGAGCCTTGTTCCATTCACGTGGAACAACTCCAGACCTGTAGACAGGGATTTGTTAATGACACCACAAAGAGACTCTGCGATAACATTCTTCGTCGTCTTTAAAAGTGTACAGCTGATGGGATCTTCACCAGTTGCTTTATCTATACTCAGATTATCAATCTGTTTCAAAACAAAATCCTTAGTATTCAAATTTAAATTAAATTGCGAATGAGTTGGACCAAAATCATTGTCCTCGTCTACTCTCAGTTGAGACGTATTCCTCCGCAGGTCCTTTGTAGTCTTAGTACCATTAGAAATGAAAAAGTCATTATAGGCTTCAGCAATATTTGCATTGTCTGACACATTTGCTCCATCAACGTTTATGGTATTGGGAGAAATAGGTAACGACTTAAGCATAAGGCCTCTTAATCATCTCCACATTTGCTTAAGGCCCGGTCCCACTGCACTTACGGATGCAAAGAGGATGTAAAACGTAAAAAATCTTGCCATCCGTTGGAAAACGCTATGCATCCGTTGTGTACTCATTGCATACGTGTTTCATACGCTCTATCCATCAAACATCCGTCCACTGTGATTTCATCTGCGCAAAAAGTTTTGAGCTGCACAAAACTTTTAGAACGGATGAACTTCCGCCGTGTACGATGTAAATCCGCGACAAATACGAGCAACAAACGTTCTATGTCCGTTATCATCCGTTAAACGCCCGCTGTATCCTCTCTGCATCCTCTGGGCATCCTCGCAACTCACATCCGCTGCAGTTGAAAACGGAAAGAGGGAGGAAAGATAAGGTACATGGAACGTCTATACATCGTTAGTAGCACGGAAATAGAAAGGATGTAAGCGTATGCATCTCGTATATAAAGTATTCAAAGCTGTCATCCACTTCCATCCGCTTTCATCCGCTAGGCTTCCGATGAACATCCGTTTAACATCCCGGCTACATACTACCCACGTCCGTTATTTTCCGTTCTGTTTTCGCAAATTTTCGCAAATTTTGTCCATTTTTGGAGCGGATGAAAACGGATGGAGCCACCCGCGAAATTTTGCTCGTCCGCTGTGTCCTTTATGCATACGTTTTGTGTCCATCGGCCAGTGGGACCGGGCCATTACTGTTGTTATGATTTTGTGAAATCTGGTCTGCGTTATATTTTATTTTTCTTGTTTCTCATGAGATGAATAGCTGCATTCTTTAGATATTGTATATTGAATATTTATTCTTATTTCCAGTCGGTCTAATTCCCATTTCGTCTACAATCCATAAAGTATAATAATAATTAAATCATAAATAATGATATTTGTCAAATTATTATTAGACCTTATGGATAGTAGACGAAATGGGCATTACACAAACTGGGAATTAGACTAGCTGGTTAGTAAAATAAATGAACAATAGACCAAATGGGTAGTAGACTTTTTGACGATAAGTCAAAATGGACATTAGGCCAAACGGATTTAAACTTAAATGGACATTAGACCAAATGATAAGTAGACAAAATGATAGTTATACCATAATGTTCGTTTTTTACTATGTTTACAAAAAATGAAAATCGGATGGTGACGTCGGATTTTTCCGAAAATTATGTCATTTTTATTTTATGTCCACATCAACACAACGACAATATCATTCGTATTTACCCATACCAAGTTTTGTAATTTCAAAATATGTAAACAAATGACTTGTCCCAATTTATGTTCTTTGATAATGTGACATATTAAGATTTACATATTAAAAAAGGCTGTAATTCATCCAGTTAACCTTTCATTCTTTAGTTACAAAAAACAACCAAGAAATATCTAATTTACCAGGGGTATGAATAATTTAGTTGTTCTTTGTATGCGACATGGACCGTATCAACTTGAGACGTCATAAGCATGTGAAATGAAATTTCAATACAGCTCATAATGGCGCGTCAGCTAACGTCAGAGTCAGGCGTGTACGCAGGGGGGGGGGGGGGGGGAGGGGGGGGGGAGGGGGGGTCCTCTTACACATGAAGTGTGTCGGCGTATGAGTTCGATGATGGAGGGAATATTATAGAGATAAAATATAAGAACCGACATGATTATAAAGCTGGGTGTACGAGTTCGTTGATAACGCCATCTTCGGCGGCTTGCAGCATGTGTTATAAGAACAGGCAGGATTTAGTTGAGCCTGAGAGTTCGTTGATAACGCCATCTTCGGTGGCTTGCAGCAAGTGACGGGAATAGACCAGTTCACGGTTAGCACATGGCTGCAATAGGAACTTTTAGATTGAGTGGACGAGAACACGACGAACGCCGACTGATCATGCGTGTCAACGTACTCAACTGCCCATATTGACTTCAATTAGAAATCTTTTAGATTGCACTAGACGATATACATGCATTAAGGAAGTAACACTATGAACATGACGGACAATAGACCATTTTCGTAATGTAACTAAATTTAATGCACAAGTCTTTGTGCAGTGCCTCAATACAAATTATTTCATTCACCTGATAAGAATAATAGTAATTCAATAGTCAGAATGCAAACTGCATATATCAAGTGTTGCTAGGTATCAAGCCATAATGTTTCTCCAACCTGGCAACTACTAATGTATGCAGTTTGGATTATGTCTATTGAAATACTATTATTCTTACCAGGTGAATGAAATAATTTGTATTGAGGCACTTCACAAAGACTTTATGCATTAAATTTGGTTACATTACGAAAATGGCCTATTGCTGTGGTAGAATATCCCTTCACTGCTATTATGTAAAAATGTGT